AGCTTAGAGTTGAGGGACGATTAGGTATGTGTTGGTGTAATATTCTACAGGGGATTCTTGAGGAACTGGGGGATCTATGAAGGAGAAGTATCTCTAAGTAAGGCAAAGGTTCTCTGTAATGATTCAAGGGGCACAAGGGGAGTCAGCCTGGTTTCTGAGAGGGATTTCAGGGGCCACTTCTGGAGAGTTCCAGGTGATGATCCCTGATATGAGATCTGGAAAACTGCATATCAGAGGGGTCATTAGGAGGATATAGGGGTTGTGAGGAGGATCTTTACAAAAATTCACCTAAAATAGATTTACAAGGGGGAATTTTCAAGTTATCTAATGAGTTATAGAGAATATGACACTACAAGGGAACTTCTTGGGCTTCTTATCCAATTTTTTGAGATGTGGTGTGGGTTACTGGGAGAAAGGGACTCACAAAAGGAGTTTTGGAAAAATCTTTTGGACTACAGGGAGAAGAGTTTTCTGGTGACTTCAGGCAATTTCTGAAGATTTTTTTAATCTGTGAGAGTAATTTCTAGAGTATTTTAGGGCAAGGAGTTTGGGGGAAAATGAGGTCTCTGGGAGAGATTTTTGGAATCTGTGCAAAGGTCCAAAGAGGTTATTTAAAAGGGGTATATACGGGCGATGGGTAGTGGGTTCCTCTAGGTGAGTTTTTGTAATCTGAGGCCACTTCAAGAGTCTCTGAATAAGGGTATCCTCTTCTGGGGAATGTAGAAAGGAGATCTTCAAGGAAGATGGTTAGGGTTCGTCATAAGCATGCTAAAGGATTTGGGGGGTGGTTAGGAGTGAAATTTCTAAGAGATTTCTGGCACGGGGGTAGGTGGGAAGGAAAATACTTGGCATATGTGAGAGGAAAGTCTCGGGAGATTGCTGGGATATATGAAGCCCTTCCTAGAGATTTCTGAGGTGCCCAGGGGTCTGGGGGCGATTTCACAGGGAGTTTCGCAGGGAGCTTTTGCGGGCTTAGGAGGGAGGCTCCTGGGCGAGAGATGAGCTACAAGACGAGCGACCTCTGTGGAATCTTTCCATACTGGAGAAGGATGGGAGTCTGGGGGGTCCAAAGGGCGGGGGTCTACGGGGAAAAACTGTAGGGACACATGAAGGTCTCTAGAGAAAGCAGCTGAGGAGGAGAGTAGTCTCAGGGGGGTTTTCAGGCGTACATGGGGCCCAGGAGTGTTTCGGGGCAAGCGGAGCAGACGGATGCGGGGTCAAGAGGGAGGTCCCCGGCCCGGCCCCTCGGCGATCCCGAGGGTGTGATGAGGGTTTCGGAGGGAAGTTCCCAAAGGGGCCCGCCAGCGCGGAGTGGGTCGGGTGGGGGGCTCTCTCGCGGCTCTGGCGGGCGAGATCCGCGCTCTGCACCCGCCGCCGCCCGCGGCTCGGGGTCCCTGAGGGGGCGGGGCCGCCCGCGAGGCCTGGGTCGCCCTGAGGGGAGCCCCGCGCGTCCCGACCCGCCGCCGCCCTGCGCCCGCCCTGCCCGCCCCGGCCCCAGCTCACCGCCTCGGCCTCCTCTGCCGCCGCCGCAGCCGCCGCCCGGACCTCGTTAGGCCGCTGCCGCCCCCGTCGCCCCCTCTCTGGCCCGAGAGCTCCCCTCCCTCCTCCCGCACCGACCACCGCCGCCGCCGCCGCCGCCGTCGCGCTGCGTCACGGCGCCGTGCGTCACCGCCCCGGCCCCTCCCCGACGGGGGTGCCTCTATGCGTCTGTATTAGCTTACACCCAGATGACGAACGGCATACCAGCCAATGGGCGGCGAGGGCAGCCCGAAGGGCGGGAGGTGTGCGCCGAGAAAGGCGGGGTCCTGGCCGGGAAGGGAGCGACAGGGCTGGGCAACTAGGCCCAAGAGGCCCGCCCCCTCCTCAGTGGGATTGGTCGGGAGTGGGGGTGACGGGCAGTTGGCCAGACCCCGGGCTCAGGCAGAGGGCGGGGGAAAAGGGAGGGGCGCGCGCGGCGTAGCCAAGGGCAACAGGCGCTGTAGAGGTTGCGATTGGGCCTCCAGGCCCGCAGGAGGCAGTCTCGCGCCCGTCTGCCTCAGAAGCCGCAAGCCGAGTCACAATTCCTCATTCTGGCGTTCTAAGCCTGATCCTCCCCGCCCTCCTGCCACGCCCCACCCAGGGCCTCTGCGGGGTAGGGTCCTAGACCATCCTGGGACAGACTGTCTGCTCTCAGCTGCTGGCATTCAGGGTTTTGCCGCTCGCTGTCCGATGAGACGCTCATATCGAGGCGAGATCGAATTTTAGGATGGGAGAGGGAAGAGGCATACATAGCGCTCCGCACAAAGGAGGCTGTCAATAAATGGGAGTTGTTGCCCTTTGTAATCTAGTCCATAAACTGTCCTGGATCAGGGTCAGTTAATCGGAAGGGGTCCCGCTCTCAGAAGACTCGAGGGTGACAGAGACAAGACTTGGTACAGGAATTCAGACCACGGCAGTCGGGGTGGAGTGTCGAGTTCAAGACAGGGTGTGGTGAGAAATGAGCTGCGGCCAGATGTTTGGCCTGCGGAGGGAATTTGGACTTGTGCTGAAAGCATGAGGGACCCATGGGAGGGAGTCGAGACAGGGAGAGTCCTGGGGAGTTGAGGGTTTTGGAGAGATGTCTCTGGCTTATCTACGGAGGGTAGAATGGAAGGAATCCAGGGGGGCTGCTGGAAGGGAGAAGTGGGTGAGAGGAGGCTTTGCCCCGGGTGGGGGGGGGGGGACTGTGGGAAAGGAAGGAAGAGTAGGTGGGAAGGATGCCTAAACGAGCCTGAGCAAGACAGAAAAAGACCAGAAAGAAACCTCTTGTCTAGGAGACTGGGCCTTAGGGAGATCCGGAATGGGACACCAAGCATCAAGGTGCAAGGCTACACAACCAAAGGCCTGACAAGAGAGAATTTGGGGCTGGAGACCATCAAGATGTAAAGATCATTGAAGATGGTAGTTGTGGGCACTAGTGACCTAGCCCAGGAGTGTAGGAAGAATGAAGGGAGACAAGACTGACAGAACCCTTATAAGTGGGGCCACCTGCGTTGGACAAAAAGAAGTAACAGTCTCAAAGAAGCCTGAAAAGGGGCAGCCAGAGGGAGAGGAGAAAAGCAAGTAGAGCCTGGCATCACCAACACAGGGTGGAAGAGATGACAAGTTCCATCAACTGCTGACATGGTTGTGCTCCACCAATGCGGGTTCAGTCATTTGTGTGAATGACTTCTTGGGTGTGTAATATGTACAGGCTCTGCTTGAAGTGCTAGAAATACAGCAACAAAGGAGACAAACTTCCTGCCTTTGTGAGGCTTCTATTCTACTTGGGAGTCACACACAATAAATAAGGAAATACAGTGTAATTTGCTGATCAGGACCCTGGGTGGGGGAAGCAAGCTAACAAGATGTAATGGTGAGGTCAGAATTATTTCAGATGAAAAAGGCCTCTTTCATCACATAAGGTTTGAACAGATAGCTGAAAAAAGGAGGACATAAATCAGGAGAGAAAGAGGCTTCCAGAAAGAACAACCAACACATGCCAAGGCCCTGAGGCAGGATCATCCACAAATCACAAGCAAGTTAACAAAACTGGAGTGGAGTGAGCTCAGGAGGGTAGGGAGACCAGGTCTTAAGAGATAACGGGGTGAGGGTGACTGTAGAAAAATGTAGGATGTGGGAACCATGGGAGGTTTTTGAGGGGAGAGGGAGAAGAGGAATGTTACCTTTCTGTCTGTCTGTCTGTCTCTTTCCTACTTTCATATGTGCTCTAGAGTTGGAACTCAGGGCCTCACTTATGATTGGCAAGTACTCTGCTACTGAGCTACATCCCCCCTAACTGGTTTTATGAGGATCTCTCTGGCAGTTGTGTGAAAAATAGCTGGAGGAGTGGATGTAGGGCGGAGCCAGGGTGAAAACCTCGTTGGAGACGGGTTAAGGGGAAACCAGGAGGACAAACTGGAGGAAGCGAGTGTGGACAATTCTTTTGAGAAATTTTACTGAAAAGGGAAGGAAATGAATGAGCAGTAGCTGGGCAGGAGTTAGAGTATTTAATTTTTAAGATGGAAGAAATAACATGGTGCTAGGTTTCAGGGCTGTTGGTGGAGAGAGGGAGGAGAGCCATGGACATGCTCTGTAGTGGGCACAGGGTCAAGGGCAGCACAGGGTCCAGCTCTTACAGAGGATGCTAGCTGGGACCCTGGGAATTTTAGTTTGCTTGCATTCTCTTATTAACACACACATGGTTTTCTCCTAAGTGACTTTCCCTTTAGAAAATGACAGGGTTATGATACTGATTTTTTTAATTTATGTGTGTACGTAGGCCACATTACCTAGGAATTGTACTTCGAGGTGGGGAAGAGGCAATGCACAACACTCTTTTCTTTCTGGTGCTGGAGATGGAACCCAGGGCCTTGTATATGCTAAGCATATACTCTGCCCCTGATCTGCACTCTCAGCCTTCATCACTTTTTTTTTCTTTGCGCCAAAGTCTCACTATGTAGGCCAGGCTGGCTTCAAACTCCTAGTGACCCTCCTGCCTCAGCCTCCTGAGTGCTGGGATTACAGGTGTGCGCCACCATTCCTGGCCCACATTCATTATTTTAAAAAGGAGATACAAGACTGACAGGATTGAACTCCATTGTTGTAGGCTTCAGAGGCCATTATAAGGCCCATGGGGTTGAATAATCACAGGAAAAACACTTTCCGTCAGCCAGGTAGCAGGGAGGCGCTTCTCTGGTGTCCCTTTAGCCACTAACATAATGGATGAGAGTATAACGAGTGAAAGTCTCTGCACTCCTCTTTCTCAGTGCTGTGATTCAACTATTACAGAGGGGATGAATCCTAGAAGGCTTCCTAAAGAGGAGAGGAGCCGTAGAGCTCCTTACTATTCTTTATTCTTTATTGAGCAAGTCTACCATGCTGGGAGGTATGTGAAGCTATTTTATCTTCACAACAATGCTGACCCGGTGAAGTTACTTAGCCAGGGTCACACAGCGAGGCGGTGTTTGAACCCTTGTCTGAGGATTGCAAAGCCGACAGGTCTTCAGAGATGAGGGGAAGGAAGAAGAGGGAGGAGCCATCTGTGACAGTTGTCCCAGAATGAGCATAAACAGGATGTGGTGTTGGATGAAAACTTCCCCCTACCCCACAGCCTCCCCCCAACCCCATCCTGTTCTCCACCCCTGCAAGACAGCGGAACTGAGAAAAGAAGAGGGCTTGTGGACAGAAAACATCATGGTCAGGGGGCCAGGGGTTGAATGGAAGGGTGAGGGGCTGGGACTTTTGGGGGAGCTGGGCTGGGAGGGTGCTGGGGTGAAGGTCAGTCATGGGGTGGAGGTCACAGTAGGGAAGGGAACCCGAAGGTAGCACAAGGCCTGGTGGGGGAGAGATGGTGATTTGGGGTTAGCCCCAGGCAAGCAGATCCCTGAGGGCGCCAGCCCTGGAGAGCGCTGGGGTTGGCCTCTGCCCCTGTGCCCACCAGCTGTTTGTTCTGGAGGAGTGGCGTGGGGCAGCATCTGCCTCCTGGTCTCAAAGGCCTCTGGAGGGCTAAAGGGACTTTTGCACCTTCATTCGTGGCTGCAGAACCCAAGGCTTGGAGAGGGGGCAGGTGGAGGTGGCAAAGACCAGAGCCGGCCGCTCAGCTCGGCTCTCCTTTGCCCCTCTGACAGTCTGACTCCCTGGTTGTGTGTGAAGTGGACCCAGCACTGAAGGAAAAGCTGAGGAAATTCCGCTTCCGAAAAGAAACGGACAATGCAGCCATCATAAGTGAGTGACCTCTTCTTCCATGAGCAGGGACAAGCAGGCAGGGCTGGGCTGGTGTCCCTGTGGGATGGGAGGGACATCTAACCCCTGTGTGCCATCCCTCCCCAGTGAAGGTGGACAGAGACCGGCAGATGGTGGTGCTGGAGGAGGAATTTCAGGTGAGGGGTAGGGTGGGATTAGGAGACTATAGGCACTGGGACTGCAACTGAGAGCCTGCATAGAGACCAGAAACACCTGAATGTCAAATTTCAGCAATGGCTGGGCATGTAGCTCTGTGATATAGTGCTTGCCTGGAAAGTGCAAGGTTATAAGCAGGGGTTTTGCCTAGATGGCCTGGACATCTAGAAAACAGCTCTAAGTCTTAGGATCATTTGTAGGTCCAATGATTTGATGTTTGTCATGGGTTTAAAAGGCCTGGCACATAGTATTTGCTCAATAAAGTGATAATGCTAATGATAATACTTCATTAGCACCTAGGTAGATGAAGGAGTTTGTTTCTAGGTAACAAAAAGCCAGCAGAAATCCTTTATGATCAGGGAGAACCCCTCGAAGCCTTGCTGTCTTTATCAGTAGCATGGAGCCAATAATGCACTTCTTTCATAGTGTTGGGGTGAGGATTAATGATGGGGTCACAGATGATGGGGACTGAGCTGGTTGACAGCGGATGAGGACTGGCTAGGAGCTGGGCTCCCTTGGGCCCTCTGAAAGGAAGTAGTGAAATGGTTACCATGGGAACAAGGATTCAAATCTGAACTCTACTGCTTACTGCCTGTGCCGTTTGGAGTAAGGCCTTTGACTCCTCTGGGCCTCAGTTTCCTCAGCTGTGAAGTAGGTATAATAGGAACAACACTGTAGGACTATGGTAAATAAAATCGTGTTTCTGAGAACAGTACCTTGGCACACAGTAAGTGCTCATTTTGCGGTGATCTTTTGTTGTCTTCTCTCCTACATATATTTTTGGTCTCAGAACATTTCCCCAGAGGAACTTAAATCAGAGTTGCCAGAGCGACAGCCAAGGTATGCTGGAGGAAGGGAAGTGAAGGGAAGGGAGGACTGGGCTGTGGGGAGGGAGTAACGATGAAGACACACACCAAGGACCTGCCTGGATCTTAGCCCTGGCCAGGTGTTTGGATCCAGAAGCTCATATTGTAAAACACAGTTTTATTGTATGGTATTACCTTATTGCAGAAGTTTAATCTCATAGCCTATGCATAATATTGGTGTAGAGTTAATTTTTTTTGCACATAGTTTGTCAATGTTTAGTCGTGATGTAACATTGGTGGCATTAGCTTCTCTTCCTCTTCCCTCTGTGTGGTACTGGAGATCGAACCCAGGGAGTGCTGAGTTAAATCCCCAGCCTTACTATATCTGTCTGTCTATCTATCTATCTATCTATCTATCTATCTATCTATCTATCTATATTTAATTTTGAGACAGGGTCATGCTACATTGCACAGACTGGGCTCAAATTTGCAATTCTGTTGTTTTAGCCTCCTGAGTGTCTGTGCACTACTGTGCCTGACTCTATACTTTTTTTTTTTTTTTGGTACTGGGAATCAAACTCAGGACCTTACATTTTCAAGGCAGGTGCTTGTGCTGCTGAGCTATATCCCTAGCCCCTCTGGTTTTGTTTTTAAAAAAGGAAATTTCCCTTCATTTTTAATGCTTTTGGGGAAATGCTTTGGGGTAGCAAAGGGAATTTTTTTTCCCTTTTTCTTTGGGGGTGGCGGTGGTGGTGCTGTTGTTGGGATTGAACAGGGCCTTACAGGTAAAACTAAGTAGAATCTGTGGGAGGCTGCATGAGCCTGGTATTTTGTTGTTGTTTTTGGAAAAGCTCTTTACCGTGTCTACAAAACTGGTCTGTTCATGTTTTTCATTTTATCTAAGTTCATTTTTTCTTTTGGGGTCTCTAGGGTTTCTAGCCTCAATCTCAAGCTTTAGGTCTCAGTTAGGACTGGTTTCAAGGGCGTTTGATGGCTGTACAGGGTCCTGCACCCAGAAGGGGCCTCGAATCTGGGGGCTAATGCTGACACTGGGCTTTTGGTTTTTTCCCTTTTGCTGTGATGGGGCTGGAACCCAGAACCTGACACATGCTAGGCCACACTGAGCTCAATTCCCAGCCCTTAAAATTTTTTTAATTTGAGGTGGTCTTGTGCCCAAGACAAACTTGCAATCCTCCTCCCATCCCCGAAACACCTGAGATCAGAGGTGTGCACCTCCACACCAGGTTCATGCTGGCACTCTTTGTGGTTTTTTTTGGACTTGTGTTTTATATGTCGCCTGATGGAGGCGGGGGTCCTGCCTCCTCTTGCTGCTTCCAGCAAGTTCTCAGGTGTTGCTCTGCACCTGACCTCAGGCCCCTGCTGGTGTGGGGAGGTCAGGGCCAGCACCCATCTGGCATCACAAGTTCAAGGTCGCCCAAGTTCTCATGCATGTTAGGCAAATGTTTTCCCACTGAGCCGCACCTCTGCCCTCTGTGACAATTATTATTTGTAATTACCTGTTGAGTTTGAAGTGAGTTCCCTGGAACCCAGTCATTAACCCTAGGTTAGCTCTCAGTCTCAGTCTAGATTCAACATCATGGATTGGGCTGCAGGTAGTGATGCGCCCCTAGTGCTCTAGGAGACTGAGTCAGGGGATTTGAAAGTCTGAGCCCGGCTCAAGTGATTTAGTGACCACTAAAAATAAAAACAGGCTAGAGACTTAGCTCGGGGTGTAGGCCCTGAATGCAGTCCTCAGTACCACAAAACAGACAGACAGACAAACTCGCAGACTAGGGGAGTGGCTATGGGGCCAAGGCTCCAGGCCACGTCCTGAGCTTGAATCCCTTCTCCTGGGTGTAGGTTCGTGGTCTACAGCTACAAGTACGTGCACGAGGACGGCCGGGTTTCCTACCCTTTGTGTTTCATCTTCTCCAGCCCTGTGGGTGAGATATAGCCTAGCCTGCTCCAAGGAGTGGGTCTTAAATCCTGACTGGGGAATACTGGGGATCCTGACTTGGGCATACAATTGGGATTGTGTGTAGGCACTTGGGTTAGTTAGTGTCCGGGTGTGAGACTGTGTGTGCAAATGGGTACAGGTACCTGTGTTAGGAGTGCTTAGTCTAGAGCCAGGTGTGGTGGAGCATGCCTCTAATCCCACCCCTCAGGGCTGAGGCAGGAGGACTGCTGAATCTGAGGCCCAACTAGGATATATCCTGAGTCCAAGGCCAGCCTGAAATACATAGATTGAGAAAAATCAAAACTGCTTAGTATGCACAAGACCCCAGGTTCCATCCTCAGCACAACAACAAGAATGACAAGAGAGAGAGAGAGAGAGAACAGTGAACATGGTGAACATATGGGAGGCTGCATATGAGGGGACAAGCAGGCGGGTGTGTGGGGTGAGGGCAGTGAGATGGATGTGGCGGTCTGCATTCATTAAGAGCTCACCTGTCCTCATCCTGAGGCAAGAAGACAGCTTCCCTCTACCCTTTACCTAGAAATCCCCACCTGCCCCTAAATCTTTTCCAGAGACCCTCACAGTAACTTGAAGGCTCCAAATAAACTTAAAATCCTGAACAAAGTGTTCAGAGACCTCTTAGAACACCTCCCGAGACCCTCCCAAACTGCCCCGTCTGCAGGACATTGCTAAAGCTTTACAGAACATGCCTGGCTCCCCAGTGATGGGCTCTTCTGTCTTCCATGCAGGCTGCAAGCCTGAGCAGCAGATGATGTACGCGGGAAGTAAAAACAGGCTCGTGCAGACAGCGGAGCTCACAAAGGTCCTGGACAGCCCAACTCTGGAATATTATGGGGTGATGGGGTGGGGCCCTGGACCCTGGGTCTGAGGGAGAAGGCTGGGGCCTGAACCTCTGAGTCTAAGGGAGGAAGCTGGGGCTTGGACTCCTGTGTCTTCGGGGTCTGGAGTCCTCACTAGGTCATAATTCTAAGATCTCTGTCTGCCCAGGTGTTTGAAATCCGCACCACTGACGACCTCACTGAGGCCTGGCTTCAAGAGAAATTGTCTTTTTTTCGTTGAACTCAGTCAGGGACTTGAATTCCTGATGTTTGAGCCCCAAAGGGAACTGAAGACTCGGACTCTTAAAATGAGAACATCGAAGACCATAAAGAAATTAAAAAAAAAAAAAAAAAAAAAGCAAGTACTCAGATCTTGCCTCAATTTCTGCCCCTCATCATGGGCTGTAGCCGCCAGTCCCTGCAGTACCTCCATAGTGCCGGCAGGGGGCGGGCAGACCTCGTGGACCAGAGCTGAGTTCCTGGAGGAAAAGACACCTGTTTCTCCGAAAGGGATGGGCCTGGAGAATTCCTGGGTGGAAGGGTCCGGGGACAAGGGAGACCTAGGTCTCCTGGAGGACTTGGTGAGGAATATCTGAGTCTATGGAGGGGTGTCTCCTAAGGGAACAAGGACCAGAGAGTAAAGGTGCAGATGGCTGGCTCCCCTCGTGTCTCCTTATCCGCTGGACTCTGGGTGCCTAGTAGATATCAGCTGGTGCGGAATGCCATTTTTCTCAGCTAAGCCCGCAGCCAGAAAGAATTTAAAGGTAAAAAGGTTGTCAAAGAATCAAATATGATTGCTTCAGGAGCTTGGAGTCGCTGGGGGTGGACCGTTTAGGTGATTGGATGGGCCTAAGGGCCCCGGGTTGTGGGAGGTGGGAGGGTCTGGGTCCTCAGTGCACCACAGAGTGGAGGGAGACCCCGCCTATCGGATTCTTCCCTTTCTTGCATCGCTCAGCACTGAACTGCCTCATGCCTCAGTCTCTGTCTTTAGGACCTTTATTGAGCACCTTTGGTATACCAGGCTCAGAATCCTGAGATAGGCAGTCTTCACCAAGACAAATCACACCCTTCTATCTCTCTTCCCCTCTCTCTATTTCCAGATTCAGGGACTTGGAAAGTCTGCCTCCCACTTCTGTCTAGGTTCCCTGCAGAGAGGTAGCTGTTGCTATGGTAACAGTGACACAGTGACCTTGGGCCTGGGCCATCCCCCCTCCCCAACCCTGGCACTCCTGGGGGAGAACCCAAAAGCCCAGTTCTAACCCTCCTTCTTCCCTCTCAGCCATAAGACCACATCTTGTCAGATTAGCCCGCCCTGCCCTGGCCCTTGCCACCATATCTCTGGTCAGGCCAACTCTTGTATGACGAACTCGGAGCCATTCTATACTGGGATATAAGGAAGTGGCCCTAGTCGTCATTTGGGGGTGGATGGATTGAGCTCTTCTCCGCACCCCCCCTGCCCTCATTTCCCCATCTACCCTACGATCACAGTGATGGCTGGAAATGGAAAAGGAGGGCAGGTAGGGTTAAGATATTCAATTAAGAGGGCAAGAAGTGACCTACAGAGGTCAGCAAGGCAAAGGGATTTGTCCAAGGTCCTGCCTTTTCACAAGCAGATGAATGGCAATAGCTAATTTCTATTGAGGGCTTGCTATGTACCAGGTACTTCCACAAGCACCTTACGGGTATTAACTCACTTAGAAGTCACCATTATTATCCCCAGTTACAGATGAGGAAACTGAGGCACAGAAGCCAAGATTAGCTACTTGAAACCACATGGCCAGTGGTCTGACACTACAATTAGATCTCAAGCCTCAGGCTACACCTTGTGATCAACTGGCCATACTCTCTCCTAGGCAAGTGATTCAGGGAACCATCATCTCTTTCTCCTCTTCTCCTTCCTCTCTGAGGTTCCCATCCCTGCACAGTTGCATGTCTGTCTGCAGGGAGGCTCTGATTGTAAATAATCCAATCAGAGAGGGGTTTGTGCGAGGCTCTGTCCAATAGAAGCAAAGGGTTTGGAAAGCAAGATCAATTAAAGTGTGTGATTCAGGAGAATGGGTATGGCTAGGATTGTGGAAGGACCAATCAGAGAGGCCAGAACACAGTACGTTATCCAATGAGGAGTGAGCACATGGGGTGTGGCTTTGAGTTTGGTTTGGAGGGGTGCACACTCTGGATGCCACTTCTTTTAGTTTTCCCAGCCTACCTTTTCTGTTCTCACAGATCTGAGCTCTGGAGAACACATTCCTCTTAACTGTGGATGTGTGCAGGGGTTATGTTTGAGAGGCTGAGTTTGTAATTTAGAGAGTGGTTGGTTGTAGGAGGCCTAGCCCACGGATAAGGGGCCATGGCTAGGCTCAAGATTAAGAGAAAGAGTGGCACTGGGGTGAGGGCTTTGACTTCGGGGCAGGGCCTTGCTTGAGGAAGTGATCTGAATCTTGTATAGTTTGAGGTGGCCTCTAAGACGGAAGTACAATATGGGCCGCATTTGAATGACTGTCCCATAGGTAAGATAGGACATGAGTTTTTGTCTTGGGGACAGGGCCTAAATTGTGGAGAAATAGGATGGGATAGGGCCTAAATTGTGGAGAAATAGGATGGGATGTGGCTCTGTATCAGAAGGTCTGGCACAGAAATGAGGGCCCCACAGAAATGCCCACACTGTTTATCTCCACGTGTTGCTCAATTCTTGAGGCCAGCTTAGGGTCCCTGGCCTTCCAGGACATTTCACAGCCTCTCGGCCATACCTCTCCCTTTTAGTGACTCCAGGTTGGGAGGTTGTTTATTCCTTACTGTGGTGCTGGAAAGAGGGAGCTGTGCCCCCACATCACTGACCCCAGAGGTGTTGACGAACACACAAACGTTTGCTGAACACCTACTGTGTGTCAGTCTCCACTCAGGGCCCAGAAGGAAATGGGTGCCTATACCATTGGAGAGCTTAGATTTCAAGGACTAGACAATAATCATGATGAACTACTAAATAAACAGGCAAACCAGGAACCAAATGAGACCCTTCTGGAGCATGAAATGTGCCATGAATGGAGGAGGCCAATGTGACAGAAGGACTGGTGGGGCCACTTAGGGTTCCTTCCTGCCACTTAGTCTCTAGAAGAATCCTCTTCCCTCTCCCCCTCCACTTTATTATGAAAAATTGCAAACATGCAGCAAAGGAGAAATCAGTTTATAATGAACATCCATCTCCCCTGCACCAAGTCTACTGTGAACAGCTCACTGTCCCTGCTTTGTTACATAGCCGGTCATCTCTCCATCAGTCCGCCTTGTTTTTGTATGTATTTCAAGTAATTTGCAGATCCCAGTGGGAGCCAAGGTGTGTGTGTGTGTGTGTGTGTGTGTGTGTGTGTGTGTGTGAGAATTCAGGATGGAAAAGACAAGTCTCTCTGGAGAGATTACATCTAAGATGTGAGTAAACATAGGGCATGGGTCACAGAGAAAGAAGACAGCAAAGGTCCAGGGGCTGCTGTGAGCGGGTGTGCTAGAGAGATAAAGTCGTCATTGAAGCTGGATGATAAGTGTCAGGAAAAAGGCTGAGAGGGGCGCAGCGGTCAGAGCTTACAAGGCCAGAGAGGCTCTGTGAGTGAGCTCACCTCTACCTTACTCTGGTTTCTTCATCTTTGTGTGTAGCTGTCTCATTTTCCTCACCCACTTCCTCCTCCTGTCAGACCTGCCTTCACACCTCTTTCTGCTTCATATGCATTCTGTTCCACCCCTTACTACTTGTGTGACCTTGTACAAATGATTAGTCCTTTCTATGCCTCAATTTTCCTAATCTGTAAATTGGGGATTTCCCCCCCCCCCAGCTGGTTGATTGCAAAGACTGGATGAAGTAACATATGTAAAATCCTTGGGGCTGGGCTGGGAATATAACTCAGTGGCATAGCACCTGCCTGGCAAATGTGAGGTCCTGCGTTTGATCCCCCCCCAAACCAAACCAAACCAAACCAAAAAACTATGTTGGCACATAGTGATGCTACATCCATGTTCACTGTTGTTATTCCTTCCCCCACTTCTGTGCTGCCAGCCCTGGAATCCCAAGCTCTAGCAGGAGCACTAGGAACTGTGAAAGGGGTGAGAATAGTGTGTGGGGGTGACAGGAGGACTCTGGAGGCTGGGAGTGTTCCCCGGGCATTTCATAGTTGTGAGTGGGGTCAGGGTGCACAGTGGGGGGACCTTCCAAGGCTTTTCTCTGGGAGCTGCCTGCACAGCGTATAGAGGGAGGATGTCTGGGAGGGGTTTGGGCCTCCATCCAGTGGGATCTAAAGGAGGGATTGAGGCTCCAGGGGTCTGGGACTATGATAAAACTTTTCTTTTCCAGTACCTGGGTTTGAACCTATGGCTTTTGCACTGAGCTATATCCTCAGCTCTTTTAAATTTTTAAGAATAAAAACAATTATTTTTCTTTTGAGACAGGTTCTCACTATGTAGTTCAGGCTGGCCTTGAACTCACTGGGTAGCCCAGGCTAGCCTCAAACTATTGGTGATCCACCTGCCTCATCCTCCCAAGTGCTGGGACTATAGGAGTGTGTCATCACACCCAGTAGCCTTTTGTGTTTTACTTTTTGAGAAAGGGTATTGGTAAGTTGCTAAATTGCCCAGCCTGGGCTTGAACCTGTGATCTTCCTGCCTCAGCCTCCCGAGTGCTCGCATTATAGTTATGCATTACCATGTCCAGGTAAGACAGATTTTGAGGTGAGGCCTTACTGGGATGGGGGCCTTGTGAGTAGCTCAGAAAGAGATGACGGTGCTTGGTCTGAGACACTCAGTGGCATTTGAGGGAGGGCCAGAGATTGGCAGAGGGGTCTGACAGGACGCATAATGAGGGAGAAGAGTTCAAGGGAAAAAGAGTTGGGGTTCCCATGGGAGCAGGGCAGGTTGGGGGGGGGAGAATCTAGGGCAAATCAAGGGTTCTGAAAATTAAGGAGTGCCCTGAAGGCAGGGAGAGTTGGAAAGATCTAAGGCTCCCAAGAGGGTTGGAACATGGTCTGGGGTCTAACGGGGGTAATGGGGAATATTTAAGCATCTTCCATAAGGAGATCTATTGGGGGGGTCCCTGGAAGTTAGGAGTGATCCAGTCCCTATTGGGGACCTGGAGATGGCTTAGGGTCCTGGAAGGTAAAAAGACATGGCTGGGGCAGAGGGAAAGGGAGAGCCCCCCCAAAAAGTGGGATCCAGTTTGTGGATGTGATTGACTATAAAATATGGTCTGGGTCTCCTGAGAAAGTAAGGCACGATCTGGGGGGGTCTTGGATGTTGACAGATGGTCTGAGGTCTCCCTGGATGTTAGGGTGTGGTCTGAGCCCGCCCGAATGTTGGGGTATGATTTAGGATCGCTGAGGGTTGGTCTGGATCCCTTTGGATGTTGAGCTATAATCTGGGGTCCCTCTGCATTTGGGGACACGGTCTGGGGTCCCTGCCAGAGTGTGGAACATAGTCTGAGATCACCAAGGAGAGTAGGACATGGTTTGTGGTCCTGGATGGATTTGCAACATGGTCGGGGTTCTCCAAGGAGGTGAGGCCTGCTCTGAGGTGCCCCTGGGTGTCGGCACCTGGTCCGAGGTCTCTGCTGGCCGAGCCTGGGTCCCCTTGCCAGTCGAGGCGTGGCCTGGGGGTGTCTCTCCGGAGGCCGGCAGGGCCGAGGGTGGGGCCGCGGAGGGGTCGGGGGCGGGCCCGCGGCGGCTCCGCAGTGGAGACGGGTCTGCGGCCGTCCACGCCGGGGGTCCGGGCGTGCGGCCGCCCCGCCCGGCCGCTCCTCTGCGCGGCGCCCCCTCCCCCCTTGCGGCGGCGCGGCTCGGGCTGCGCGGAGGGCGGAGCTCGGCGGCCGCTCGGAGGAGGGCGGGAGGCGGGAGGGAGGCGGCCCCGCGGCACCGCGCCCCCTCCCCCGGCCCTCCCCCCACCATGGCGCGGAGCGAGGCGGCGGCGGCGGCGGGGCCGGGCCCGGGGCCTCCCAGGGCCGGGTGAGCGCGGCCCGCCGCGGCGGTGACGGGGGGCGGGCGGGGGCGCCGGTGTGGGCGCGGGCGTGCGAGTGTGAGTGTGTCCGCGGCGCTGCGGCGGGCCCGGTGCGCTCGCGCGGCCCAGTGTGCCCGGCGCCGGCGTGCGCGGCGCCCGCAAGTGTGGCCATCCGGGTGTGTGCGGGCTGCCGAGCCACCCCGGTGTGTCCGGCCGCGCGCGTCTGCGCCCCAGAGCGGCTGCCCCTCTGGCGGTGTGTCTGGGGGCTGTCGCGCGCCCCTCGGAGGGGCTGTGTGCAAGTGTGTGTGCGTGGGTTGTGTGCCCAGGTGCGGGCCCCCCAGCCGGCGTGTGCGCGCCGCTAGCTGCGTTGGATGTTTGTGTCCGGGTTGGATGTCCATCCGAGGGTCCATGTAGCCGGGTGTGTTCGCTCCGGTGTCCATTTGTGTGTGTGTGTGTGTGTGTCTGCGGGTTGTATGTCTCCGAGGGTGTGTGTCTTAGTCCACATCAGGTTTCCTGCTGGGAGCAGAGGCTCAGCACCTCGTGGGTCCAGGCCTTGGTGTGGGTTTGGGGGAGGGGAGTTCGCCGCTCCCTCAGTCCATGTCAGCTGGGGGGGTCTTAAGCGGTCCTTGGGGGAGACGGCCATGTCTTCCCCTTTCCAGTGACTGGGGGGATGGGCAGCCGGGAGGTGGACAGATGGAGGGATGAGAGGCCGAGGGATGGACAGATGGGCCCTGGGATGGGGGTGGGGGTGGGGGTGGGGAGTAGACCTGGCCTTTTCTCACCCACCCCACCCTTACTCCTTACCGGCCAGATACTGGCAGGTGGGGCCAGAGTTGCCTGTGTCCTGATGGCCAGACTAGGGGACCTCTGTGGTTGCTGGTGGGAGGATCGCCTTGGAACCCTGCCTTGGAACCCAAACCCCTCTCGACCCTGTGAGATTCCACCTGATGAACCCTGACCTCTGGCTCTGGCTCCAGCCCTGATTTGGGGGCAGGGGGTGTGGATGGTAATGTGCTGGGAAGGCTGGAAGGATTTGTGTGGCCTGGCAAGTAGGTGGGGCAAGGTGCCTCAGTGCCGGAGGAATGTGTGTCCATGACTGTGAGTGAATGTGACACTGGGCCTGTCTGTTGACTGTGCTACTGTGGTTCAGTATTATGTGTGCATTTATAAGTGTGTAAATCCCTCACGGGACCGTTCTGTGAGTATGTGGCGCTTACTAGTGAACATCTTGTGTCTGCAAAGGTAGATCTTTATGTGTGCTTGTCCCAGAGTTCTCAGCTTTGTGAATGTCTCTGTGTACGTGTGTGTAGCAACTAGTGTATGCACGCGTGTGTTATCTTAGTGTGGGAATGTAACATCGTTATGACTGCATAAGGGAAACTCACAAAGTTGCATGAGTGTGTTTAGGCATGTAAGAATGTGCACCTGTGTATTGTTGATTGTGCAGGTGTGTATCCATTATATGTGTGCATTCCAGCATGTTGGTGAGTGTGCAAGGTATATCTGTTCTAAGTGCAGGAACCTGATTGTTAGGGGGCACCTGGGGTTTCTCTGTTGTGTCTGTGCATCTGTGAGTGTGCATGTGTAAGAGAAAGTCAGTATTGTATGTTGTACATAGGTGTGTCAAACTGGAGGTCTGCGTATTTATGTTGTGAGTCCATTTTTGCTTCAGCGTTGGTCTTTGGGAGTAAGGTTACATGTTTTCAAACATGTGCAGGCCACATGTGCCTGTGCCCCTGGTACAAGGCTGACCCCACTCCTGGGCCAGTGGGATTGAGGCTCTGGTATGCCAGGATTCAGGGACCCAGACACTAGGTCATGTGCCCACGGAAGGCGGGAGCACTAGGATCTTGCTGGCATGTCCCTGGGAGTCTTGATGCAGAGCCTCGAGTTGTGGCCGTGTGGGTTGGACATGTCCACATATGTTAAGAGTGGGCCAGATGGGAACCTCTGGCTCTCCCCTACCTCTTGGTGCCACTCAGCCTTTGAAGTTGGGGACCAAAATGTAGATTCTGAGGTTCTAAAGGAGGAGGTGTCTGGTCCAAACTCCTAGGTCTAAGAAGGAGCCTGGGAATTTAGAATCCTGAGTTTGAAGGAGATGAGGACCCATCCCAGACTCCAGGATCTTGAGGCAGGAGGGAAGAGGGGGCTGTGGGCTATGGCTCCTGAGACTCCTGACTACAAGAGGCAAATCCCAGATTCTCTGGATTTTTTTTTTTTTTTTAATTCTTATGGGTACTGGGGATCGAACTCATGACCGCCTGCTTGCAAGGCAGGTGCGTATGCTGCTGAGCTAAATCCCCAGCCCCTGGATTCCTGGATTTTTGATGGTGAACTGAGTGAGGTTTCTGGAGATGACTTCTGGTCCCTCTGAGATTATGCAGGGCCCCCAGTAGGAGGACTGAGAGACTGATCACTTCCTAGGTTCAGGCGGTCTCCCAGGCAGGCCTTGAGGCTCAGAAAGGAGCCAAAGGATGCTAACGGGGTGGTTTTGTTCCTTTGCAGGTGCTGACCCAGGCCCTGACTCCCTGAAGAGAGGTGAGTGATGCCCTCAGACTAGGGAGAGAGATGTGGAGTGATGGGGCCAGTTCTGAGCCAGCTGGAACCTAGACCTTTCCTAACAGGGACCCCTGTGCTGGGTACAGTGGTGTCCAGAGGGGCAGGTGCCCCTCCACTTCCACATCAGGTGAGGAAGTGGTGACCAACCCAGGGGCATCCTAGGTGGGTGAGGGCTTAAGGTGCCCAGAAGGCTCTGAGGCACAGGTAGGGGTCTCAGGCTAGGCTATAGCATCCTTTCTCAGAAAGGATAAAGGGGTTGGGAAAGAGGGGTTCCCTCATGATGTCAGTGAAAGGTGCAAGAAAGTTTCAGGATCTGAGTGAGAAAGTTGAATGGTTATGGGATGTGACTGTGCTTGTATGAGGGAAGACCCAACAGTCTGACCTGCTGGGGCTGAGAAAGAGCCTTAGTCATGATAGGCCGGGCATGGGGGCTCGTGTGGGAAGAATACAAGTTTGAACCTGGACTGAACAACTTAGCAAGACCTTGTCTAAAAATTAAAAAATAGAAAGGACTGGGATATAGCTCAGTGCAAAGGTGCTGGGTTTAGTCCCCAATACAGCAAAATGATGATGATGGTGATGATGATGATGGTGATCGTGATAGCAGTAGCTAACATTTAGGTAGGTTTCCTCTGTCAGGAACTATGCTAAACATGTTACAAAATAATAATAAATCCTATGGCAACCCTATGATAGGTCCTATCACTATCCCCCTTTCATAGATGAACGCACTGAGGTCAGAGGAGTCACTTACATCACATCTCAAAGACTTGGCATGTGAATCCAGATTCACATGGGTTTGCATTCTGGCCTGTAGGATACAGTGGATCTCAATAAATGTTAGCTGTTTTCCTTGCTGTTATTTTTCCTTTAATTTGAGTCTTACTATGGCTGTAGGAGGTGAGCTCTGTACTTGTTTCACAGATTGGGGTTCTGAGCCCCAAAGATCCCGTAATCAGGCAGGGGCTGAGCTGAAGCTGTCAGCCATGGTGTCCCTCCCTGGGCGAGGGCGAGGATTTCGGTCCATACAGAGCAGTATTCTAGGGGGAGGAAAAGCGCATTAGGGGAGTGGTGCCAGAAACGGCAGGACATCCTGAGCCTGCCTAATTTTCTCTCTCTGAGTTGCTGTCTTCCTTCCTCTGTTTCCCCCGTTTGTGTCTCTTTAACATTCTCTCTTTTGCACTGTGTCTCTATCTCCATCCCTATCCCCGTCCTTCTCTCTCTCTCCATCTCTTTTCAGTAGGTCTCCTCCATTCTCAATTGTTCTGTCTTCTTTCCTCCCTGTTTCTTTAGTTGTAAAATTTGTATTTTATTGTAGCACTGGGATGAGACCCAGGGCCTCACTCATTCTAGGCAGCTGGTCTGCCATGGGAGCTCACCCCTAGCCATCCTTTCCTTCTTTGAGACTCTGTCCCTTTCTCAGTCTCTTTCTGTCAGTCTGTCCCCTTCCTCTTTACCTCCCCCTGACTTTCTTAGCCCCACTCCCCCTTCCAAGGGCAGAAGGATCAAGGTCACACATGGTCCCTGCTTCACACACAGATTCCTGGGACATGCCAGCAGAGGTTGGGGTCCAGGGCAGGGTGGGGTGGAAACCCTTTCAGGGTCACCCCCTTCTCATCTGTCCCTCTTCACCACCCGCCCCGCCCACACAGTGTTGTGATGGGAGCTGACAGGTCGTGGGCTGCAGATGCTGCAGGGGGAGTCCCCACTGGAAGGTTTTGCCTGGAGCAGAGGCATAGTGTGAGTGTGTGTACGTGTGTAGGCACAGATGGGGCCTTGTGTCCCCACTGATGTGAGCACCAAGGTAGCCCTGCTACAGAGCTTAGCTGAGCCTAAGACAAAGCCACATCCCGAGGGGGACTCTGATGCCTTTTTCTCAGCCCCTCCCACTTCCACATTCTCTGCTCTGCCAGAAGTGGAAGGGGCCACCTTAACTTTTACTGTGTGCCAGCAGCCGCTGTGTTCAGGGGTCCCCATGTGTGAGTTTAGTGAAGATGGTATAATCATCATTCCAATTTACAAATTGGGGGCTGAGGATTTAGCTCCGCAGCATAAGCGCCTGCCTTGTAAGCAGGCAGTCGTGAGTTCAATCCCCGGTACCGATAAAAAGCAAAAAGACAAAAAAAAAAAAAAAAAAAAAAAAAAAAAAAGGACCAATTTACAAATCAAGGAGTGACAGCCTCACTGGGGGAAATCATTGGCATGGGGTCACAGGCTAACAAATGGGGAGCCAGGGTTTCAGCCTGAACCTGTCTTGAGTGCAAAGCACTTGCTCTGTGTAAGAGTGCACAGTTCTGGCCTGGCACCTGCTAGGCACTTGAAGAAGATGACAACAATGATCACTTGGCTGTATTAAGCCCATTTTACATGGTAGGCAGTGTTCTGAGTCGACCATGTTCATTAATCTACCCAGTCCTCATAGAAGTAAGACTTCTATCTCCTTTTTACAGATGAAGAAACCGAGATTCAGAGAGTTTCAGACACTTGCCCAAGGTCACACAGCTAGTAAGTGTCACAGCTGGGATTGGAATTAGGAGTATGCCTTTGGCATCTCTAGCCTTAAATCATAATCACCTGTGATCTCTAACTGTTTGGTGGATAGTGAATGGCCCAGGCTGGACCAAGTGTCACCTTTTTTGTTTTGAGATCATGAGAGCTCCTAGAAAAGGGGCAGAGGTGGGGGTAAAGCACTCAAGGGAGGGGTGGTGGCACTTCAGCAACCAGCATGGAAATATAATCATCTGTTAATATGGACTGCATGCTGCCTTCTGTCCTGTCACTGTCCCATAGGGCCTAGGGATTTAGGGGAAGGGGTGCAGCTCTGATCTCAGTAGGGCTGCTGGGTATCGACTGAGCCATGTGCTCGGGTAACTGTCTGTGTCCCTGCAGGTCTCACTGCCCACTCCTGCCTTCCCACTGCGCCATGGCTCCAGGCCCCTTTGCCTCGGCGCTCCTCTCGCCGCCACCTGCTGCCCTGCCCTTCTTGCTGCTGCTCTGGGCCGGGGCATCTCATGGCCAGCCGTGTCCCGGCCGCTGCATCTGCCAGAACGTGGCGCCCACGCTGACCATGCTGTGCGCCAAGACCGGCTTGCTCTTCGTGCCACCCGCCATCGATAGGCGCGTGGTGGAGCTGCGGCTCACCGACAACTTCATCGCAGCTGTGCGCCGCCGCGATTTTGCCAACATGACCAGCCTGGTGCATCTCACCCTCTCCCGGAACACCATTGGCCAGGTGGCGGCCGGCGCCTTTGCAGACCTCCGCGCCCTCCGTGCCCTGCACCTCGACAGCAATCGCCTGGCTGAGGTACGCGGTGACCAGCTCCGAGGACTGGGCAACCTCCGCCACTTGATCCTCGGCAACAATCAGATCCGCAAGGTGGAACCGGCTGCCTTTGATGCCTTCCTGTCCACTGTGGAGGACCTGGATCTGTCCTACAACAACCTAGAGGCCCTGCCGTGGGAGGCTGTGGGCCAGATGGTGAACCTCAACACACTTACGCTGGACCACAATCTCATCGACCACATCGCGGAGGGGACCTTTGTGCAACTGCACAAGCTGGTGCGCCTGGACATGACCTCCAACCGCTTGCACAAACTCCCACCTGATGGGCTCTTCCTGAGGTCCCAGGGCGGGGGACCCAAACCACCCACGCCGCTAACTGTCAGTTTTGGTGGAAACCCACTGCACTGCAACTGCGAGCTGCTTTGGCTACGGCGGCTGACCCGGGAGGATGACCTGGAGACCTGCGCCACCCCTGAGCACCTCACTGACCGATACTTCTGGTCCATCCCTGAGGAGGAATTCCTGTGTGAACCCCCGCTAATCACACGGCAGGCTGGGGGCCGGGCCCTGGTGGTAGAGGGTCAGGCGGTCAGCTTGCGCTGCCGGGCGGTGGGGGACCCTGAGCCTGTGGTGCATTGGGTAGCGCCTGATGGGAGACTGCTGGGGAACTCCAGCCGGACCCAGGTCCGGGGAGATGGGACGCTGGATGTGACCATCACCACTTTGCGGGACAGTGGCACGTTCACTTGCATTGCCTCCAATGCAGCAGGGGAAGCCACAGCGCCCGTGGAGGTGTGTGTGGTACCTTTGCCGCTCATGGCACCCCCGCCAGCTGCCCCACCACCTCTCACTGAGCCCGGCTCCTCTGACATCGCCACACCAGGCAGACCTGGTGCCAACGATTCTTCTGCTGAGCGCAGGCTGGTGGCGGCGGAGCTTACCTCTAGCTCGGTGCTTATCCGCTGGCCTGCCCAGAGGCCAGTGCCTGGCATCCGCATGTACCAGGTCCAGTATAACAGCTCAGCGGATGACTCCCTCGTCTACAGGTGCGTGCATGTGTGTGTGTGTGTGTGTGTGTGTGTGTGCGCGCGCGCGCGCGCGCGGCTGCCCCAGGACCTCCTCCCAAATTCAGCCTCCCCCACCCTGGTCTTGGCCTTCTTACTCAGCTGGGGTTCTAGAAGGTTTTGTCAGTTGTCCCGGGCTCTCACTGGCCCTTTCTCCTCTCTCCTCTGTTTCTGTCTCACTGTCTCTTTTTCCTTGCACTTAGCAAATATTTGTGAGCACCTACATGAGCAGACCAGGATTGAGCACTGGAATTATTGCAGTGAAGCAGCACAGGGTGATTGGCTGCTTAGAGCGAGATCTAAAGGACATCATGGTCAGTATCACTGCTGGCCACAGGGGTCTGATCATGGACTTCATAAGTGAAGTGTGTAAATATACACACTTATATTTACAGTTACAATTCTGTTTACTAATTATATACCAGTACTACTATACCAACACATTGGGTACATTAGAAGACCAGGAAACAATAAAGTATGAGAAAAACACAAGTTATTTCTACCCTCTACTGGGTTAGAAGCCACTGCCCTGATGGGAACAGACCTGTATGGTATGGACAGACATGCAGTTTCCATCTCCCTTCATCGCTGGGATTCTCTCTTCCTTTTCTCCCTCTTATTCCTGTTGGGCACTTCCCCCACTCTGTACTAGGTCCTGAGCTGGATGCTGGGAGACCAGGGCATCAGGTCCCTGCCTTCAGCTCATACAACATAGAGAACCTCCACCTTGGCCCTGCGGTATCTCCAGCTCAGTGGTATCCATGCAGCTCTTGGCGCCAGAGCTGGCACACAGTGGGTATGGCACACAGTGGGCACCTGATAGATGGCTGTTGTCTTATGGTTCTATCCTTGTCTCTGCCTCCCTCAGGCACCGAATACCTGGCCTTGTGTTTGAGTTCACTTGGGGATCCCTAGCTCTTGGGGGCAGACTTTCACAGAAACCTGCTTCTTGGTCTCCATCTCTACCTTTCCCAGTGTTCTCATGGCTGCAGGTCTGGAGGCATCTTTCTGTAGTTGGTTTAATAAATAAATGCCTCTCTGTCCCTGGGTTCTGTTTTCCTCTTTTTCTTTTCAGACAGAATCTTGCTATGTGGTTCAGGTTGGCCTTGAACTCATTATGTAGCTCAGGCTGGTCCCAGACTCACAGCAGTCAACCTATGGCAGCCTTCTGAGTGCTAAGATTACAGAGTATACCACCACATCCCCCTGTTGTCTTCCTTGTTTTAATTTGGGTCACAAAACACAGAGTAAATACTTACTGTGTATCAGATCTTGTGTTGGGCCTTAGGCCTACTAAGATAAGAGCAGCCAAGTCTAAACTTACAAATAGCAGACAAACAAGTGAACCAATCAGGAAGTTTCATGAGATGCTCTAAAGGTGGCTTCTTTATTCCCCCAGCTCTTTCCCATTTTACATATGGAGAAATTGAGGTCTCACAGAAAGTAGCAGAGCTGTTCTTTTCAGGCAGAAGATACTTTTATTGAATGCCTATTGTTTATCAGGCAGGAGTGGAGGCAGATGATAATACATGTTTGTATATAGCTCAGTTTCAGTGACTCTCCACCTGTCTGTTTCTCTCTTTGCTTCTTTCTGACCCATGGCCACCACAAGATGGGATGGGGACAGTTATCAGGGTGTGTGCAGCTGTCAATGGCCCCTGTCCCCAGCTGAGCAACAGATTCTGGGATTCTTCCTTTCTTCTTAGGGCCACAGATCTAGTCCTCCATCACCCATCGCAGTGCTATGGCACTGCCGGGGTTAACTTCCTCACCGCTACCATGGGCTGAGGTGACATCCAACCAGAAAGCTGCTCAGCTGCTTGCTCTGGTCTTGCAGCCAATTAGAGACACATGGCTCCAGCTTTCTTAAGGAGCCAGTCTCTGTCCTTGAAAAAGGGGAGCCCCTAGCAACTAGTTATTTTGAGGGAAGGAGCAAGAGAATCCAAGGCTCTCATAGAGATGAGGGGAAGAGGAAGCCAGGGAGGGGCCCAGGTTGGGTAGAACAGAGTGGCAGTGGTCTGAGAAAAGTCAGAATGAGGTACAAGGGGGAGTGGGTGAGCCTTTGCAGGGGCTGTGCTGAATCCTTTGGGTGGAGGATACCCTTGGTAATGGGGCACCCTCCTGGGGGCAGGATACCCAAGGTGGGGCTTGAGAACCTGAAGGTGGCCCAGCTGGAGGGAAAGGTGAGCTTCTGCAAGAGGTAAGAGGGCCGTGGAGACGGTGCATGGCCTTTCCGAGGGGTGGAGATTGTTCTGCAAGGTCCCAGGCAGACAAAGGGGCAGTCCTTGTCCCAGGTGAGACTTATAGGAGGGGAGGGCTTCTGAGGATGGGTGCTGGTGGGCAAGTCCACGTGCACTGGGTGGACCTGGACTCACAGAGGTTGTACTGGGCCAACAGGTGGAGGGGATGTGCTCAAGAGCAGAAGGCAGAGGCCTGAAGGTGTGGCCCTGGGGGGGGGGGTTGGAGAAGGGCGGCTCTCACGCGTGACAGAGAGTGTGGTTGGCAGGAGTGGGAGCCACAGCAGGGGTTCCTGGTCAACATTCATGGGACGGAAACTGACGGTAATATTAAATGCGAAGCTTTGGGTATGTTAACTCTCTCTTTCCTGGTACCGTCTATGCTAGGGGAGTTACTGTCATTTGGGGAAAAATGTTACACAGAGAGGTTAAGAAAATTAGCTAAGCTTGCAGAGCTTGCAAGGGCCAGAGAAGAGATTCAAACCCAGGCAGTCTGGCTCCCAGACTTGGGTGGCTTCACTGAATCTCCACATTGCTCTTCATTTGAGGGCAGTGGCCCAGAGTAAGGAAAGAGCAGCAAGGGAAGAGTAGCCTGGCTACCCTTGGCTCAGCTATGGATGGAACTCTGGGGGTGTGATTGGGTGACTTCAGGTGGTACAGGTCTAGGCACCCGAAGGGTGTATATGGGCTGAAGCACAGTGGTGGAGCCATCCTTATTTGGCCTTTGTGTGGTATGACTTGGGAGCCAGGATTCTATATGAAGGGGAGTAGCTTGTAGCAGTGGCCCCAAAAATGGGTAGCTGAGAGGCTCAGAATTTGTGCCAGAAGCATCATGTTTTACCCAAAGGCGGAGCAGATACAAGGGAGGGGCCTGTGATGTGGTTTCCCACCAATGGCCCCTTCACCTGAGTGGGGCGGGGTGTGCAGATAAGGGGGTTGGCCAGTAGCATCAGTTCTCATACATGGTGAATTGTAGATGAGGGAGCTTGAATGGCAGTTGTCCCAACAGGAGTGAGACACACTAAGAAAGGGTGTCCCTTGAGGCCAAGGGTGAATGCTCTCTATATGGCACTCCTCCCAGGCAGGCACCAGGGCGTGTCCATGGGGGAAGATGGGTGATGAGCCAGCCAGGTGGGGCTGAGGGGGTCTGAAGGCAGGGCCTGCAGACAAGAGGTGTGGTCTGAATCAGTTCTTAAAGGTCAGGACTGTGCCCGCCACAGCTGCTGTTCAGCTAGCGGGTGGAGAGGGGTGGGATACTGCCAGTACTTGTCCACCCCCTCTGTTCACTATGGTGGGCCTAACATGAACGGAGTGTTCAGAGTGGGCCTGACTGCTCCGATCCTTGTCTCTTCCTGCAGGATGATCCCGTCAACCAGCCAGACCTTCCTGGTGAATGATCTGGCAGCAGGCCGTGCCTATGACTTGTGTGTTTTGGCAGTCTACGACGACGGGGCCACGACCCTGCCGGCAACGAGAGTGGTGGGCTGCGTGCAGTTCACCACTGCTGGGGATCCTGCACCTTGCCGTCCGCTGAGGGCCCATTTTTTGGGTGGCACCATGATCATCGCCATCGGGGGCGTCATTGTCGCCTCAGTCCTTGTTTTCATCGTTCTGCTCATGATTCGCTACAAGGTGTATGGCGATGGGGACAGTCGCCGAGGCAAGGGCACCTCTAGGTCGCCCCCGCGGGTCAGCCACGTATGCTCGCAGACCAATGGTGCAAGTGCCCAGCTGGCCGCCCCGCCAACGCAGGACCGCTATGAGACGCTGCGCGAGGTGGCACCCGGGCGCGAGGTGACCGCTCCAGCTGCCGTGGAGGCCAAGACCACCGCGGTCGAGGCGACTTCCGTGGAACCAGAAGTGGTACTGGGACGCTCGCTGGGTGGCTCAGCCACCTCGCTGTGCCTGCTGCCCTCGGAGGAAACTTCTGGGGAGGAGTCTCGAGCCGGGACAGGGCCTCGGAGGAGCCGTTCTGGGGCCCTGGGGCCGCCAGTTTCAGCGCCTCCGACTCTAGCTCTGGTTCCAGGGGCAGCCTCGGCCCGGCCGAGGCCGCAGCAGCGCTACTCCTTCGACGGGGACTACGGGGCACTCTTCCAGAGCCACAGTTACCCGCGCCGCGCCCGGCGGACAAAGCGCCACCGGTCCACGCCACACCTGGACGGGGCTGGAGGGGGCGCGGCCGGGGAGGATGGAGACCTAGGGCTGGGCTCTGCCAGGGCGCGCCTGGCCTTTACCAGCACCGAGTGGATGCTGGAGAGTACCGTGTGAGTGAGCAGCGGGTGGGCAACGGGATGCCTGGGGGCCGCGGACCAACGCCCCCGCCGCCCGGACGCAGGGGTGGACAAGAGAGCGCGCGCAGAGCCTGGAGGCCAGCACCGCGCACTGGAGCCGGACTCGCCCAGCTCCTCCGGAGGGGCGGGGCCTCCTGGCCACCAGGGCTCCAGGCCCCGCCCCCCAAGGGGCTGGGGTGGGGCCGCCCCCTCGCCCGCCCCTCCCCCCGCGCGCTCGCGTACCTCGCTGGAGCCGGTGCCTTACAAGCGAAGCGCGGGGAGGGGCAGGGCCTCCCGACACTGCAGCACTGAGACACGAGCCCCTCCCCCAGCCCGGGACCCGGGCCAGGGACGAGGGGCCCATTTCTTGTATCTGGCTGGACTAGATCCTATTCTGTCCCGCGGCGGCTTCCAAAGCCCCACCTCACCCCACTCACCTCCCGGTCCCGGGTCCGGTCCATCGGGTCTGGCTTGGGATCCTCTCTTTCCCCATCTGTCTCAGTCTCGCCCTCTGTCGTCTGTCCTACGTGTCTGTCTCTGTCTCCGTCCTGCCCTACTTGTCTCTCCTTTTTGTGCCCCAGTATGTGCTGTCCTCTTCGGTTCGGTTCAGCCCAGTCTTCCTGTCTCTCCGGATCTCCACTCCCTGCTCCCCGCTCTCCCGGGCAGGTCCCACAGGAAGGACCAGACTCTCTCCTATGCCTTCCTCGTTCCCCCAGTGAATCCCACATGAACAAAATCCAAAACCAAATCCCCCTCCCTGTCGGAGCTGGGACCCTCCGCCGCAGCAGAATTAAACTTTTTTCTGTGTCCGAGGCCGCTCTGCTGACCTGTGTGCGTGTCTGTGTCTTGGGGGAGGGAGCCCTAGACTGCAGCACAAGGGACCCACCAGACTGAAGAAGGAATGGCTTAACACCCCCCCCCCCAAGAGACTGGCAGACAGGCTGCTCCTGTGTTCCCACAGATGTGGAGTGGGGCATAATAAAAATAAACCAATAACTGTATCTCTCACAGGTGCCTACTATGTGCTAAGCACGTACGTCATCTAGGCCTTGTAAGAACTCTAGGACATGGGTAGTGTTACCCCATTTTACAAGGTGAGAAAAATGTGGCCTGGGAAAGTTAAATAATTTGCCCATGATAAGGTAGCCAGAAAGTAGAAAAATTTGTATTTAAAAAGGCAGGCCGAGCTGGACGAAGTGGTCACACCTGTAGCCCTGGCAATTTGGGTGGCCCAGGTGGGAAGATCCCTTGAATCCAGAAGTTTGACACCAGCCTGGGCAACATAGACCCCCCATCACAAGAATGAATAAGTAAATAAAATGAAAAGAATGCAGGTGGCCTGACTTCTGTCCTCAAGCTCAGCTCAGCTCTGCGGAACAGTCACTGAGGGGTCACCCCACTCAGACACCCACTGCTTTGAGGGTGATATGATATCCTTGGTCCCCAATTATAGACAAACATTTGAACCAGGGAAAAGGGAAGTCATTTGTCTGAGGTCTCTTCCTTGGTTCCTAACTAAATGCTGGGGCTATGTCTGAGGCCGGGGGTGGCCCTGTGACCTTGGCTGAGTGTACCCAAGGGCAGGCTTATGGGGGACAGGGAGGGAGAGCCATGGTCACTGCATGTGGAGGGTGAGGGAGCCTTGGTGAGGTGGGCTCTGCTGGGGCAGGGAGAAGGCTGTGGGGAGAGGGCCGTGGCTCGGGAGGGGAAGCTGGTACGTGTGGGGGGCTTGCATTGGCCCTGCAGTGAAAACTCCTTCCTCATCCTGGGGAGGAAGGAAGAAGGCTTCCAGCCAGCCAGGGGCCCCCTGAGGCCTGGGGCAGAGGAGAGAAAGACAGAAATAGAAACAGAGCAGGAGGGAGGAGGATGGATTTGGGCAGACAGGGTGGGAGGCAGCAAGGACAGCAGCTCCGGCCGGAGAATCACAGGCCAGGAGGTGCCTCACCCTGTGGTCCAGCCACACTCATTCGTGTCACTCGTGATGACGCGTAGGCCGTGTGAGGCTCCCACCAGCCAGACACTGCGCTCAGGAACCCTCCCTGAAGGTGAGTAAGAAGCCTGCCACCCAGTGCTCGTGCAATGGAGCGACTCCCACAGTAAGCACCGTCGCGTTTAAAGCCTGCAGCAGGCATATAGTGTGTGCCCCCACCTTTCTAGGTGAGGAAACGCGCTCTGACAGGTTGAGGAACTCGCCGGGCATCAGACAAGTGAGTAAACAGCAGTCATGGTTGGGTAGCTGACCGCTGCCAAGTCCCGCGCACCTATTGTCTCTGAGAGGCTCGAAGAAGCTTTACTTGTTTGTTTTTAAGACAGGGTCTTGCTATGTAGTTCATCAGGATTTGAACTCACTGTACAGCCCAGGCTGGCCTCAGTCTCATGGTGACCCTCCTGCCTCAGCCTCCCAAGTGCTGGGATTACAGGTGTGCCCCACTACACCTGCCTTCAGTGAAGCTTTCCTGGACATGTTCCATGTGCCTGGCCTCTTGCAGGGGGCATAGCAGTGAGAAACTAAACATAAGAAAGCCCTGCCCCTTGGAGCTTTTATCCCAGAGGGGAGAGGAAGCAAAGCAAGTCAATAATGAATGGTCGAGGCCTGTAGCACACACCTCTCATCTCAGCACTCTGTGAGGCAGAGGCAGGAGGACTGAAAATGTGAACCTAGCACAGGTAATGTAAGTGATTTAGTGGCACCCTGTCTCAAAATAAAAAAGGGCTGGGATGTAGCTTAGTGCAAAGGTCCTGATTCATTCCCCAGTACTAGAAGAAAAAAAAAAGTGATGGTAAATAAATATCAAATGAGGAATGAAAAGAAAACCACCGAGTTACTGGGTGGCCTACTTCAGTTTGGGGAGGGACCAGGGAGTGTGAAATTGGACTTAAAGATACAAATTCTGGAAAGAGAAAAGAAAAAGGAATGTTATCTGTTAAGATAACAGCACCTGCAAAGGCCCTGAGGCAGAGGAGTGCTAGAGGTTGTATGGCTGCAGTGGAGTGGGGAGAGAGTGGGAGGACCAAAGATGAAAGGAGAAGCAGGCAGCAGTCTCTGAAGAACCTGGTGGCCTGTCGTCAAGAGTTAGTGCATCATTCTTCACAGCTAGGGGAGGCTGGTGGAGAGTTTTCAGCGGGGTGAGTATGGGGTCTGATGCCCACAGAGACTCCGGCTTGGGGATAGGGTGTGCTTATTTTCAAAACACATTAGGCTGTGTGCAGTGGTACATCCCTGTAATCCCAGCTGCCTGGACGGCTGAGGCAGGAGGACTTCGAGCTGGAGCCCCGGTTTTCAAAATATAAAGTGGTGAGGATGTAGCTCAGCAGTAGTGCACTTGCCTAGCATGGACCAGAGGGGAGAATTAGGGACTGCGTCCCAGATCTCACTATCCATCACGCACTTGGGGCTCACGCGGTCCTTAGCCCAACCCCTCATGTGACCCCTCTTCTCTCTTCTGTACCCCGAGCCCTTCATTTCATAGGGAAGGCTCTGTCAGTGCCAGTGACACACTTGTCTTTCAGAAGCGAGGGCTTCGAGCCCGAGCAATAGGCACCCCAGGTGAGAACGGCCAAGCAGCATCCAAGCATTGGGCATTGTGCTGGCTGTGTGTTGGGCACTGGGGACACAGCGCTGACCAGGGCAGACCCAGTCCCTGCTCTCCTGGAGCTCAGACAGACAATGGGGCCATGAGGGGGTTGCTGAGGAGGCTGTGGGAGCCCAGAGGAGCTGCCCAGCCCACCCTGGAAGGTCAGGGAGTGTTTGAGTCTCTTGGTGACAAGTGATAGAAACTAAGCCCAGTAGAAGGACGATGCTCCCACCCCACAGTACAGCTGAAAAAGAGACAGAATGAAGAGTAAATGTCCATGAGGCAGGGCCTCGGGGCCAGGAGGAGCACAGACTCAGCCCCTCCAAGACGCTCTTCCCACCTGCTTCTCTTCTCTGCTCCTCTCCTCACTTTAGATTCTTCTCTTTCAGCTATACATGGTGGGGGAAAGGGTCATTTATTAGAGACTCAGACTTTCCATAGCCCAGAAGTCAAATGGTGGGATCTCTCTAGTCCTAAGAGAAAAAGCCCAGGAAAGCGCTCTGATTGGCGGAGGTGAGGTGGCCAGGCCATCCCGGCTGATTTCAGCATTGAGGGAATGGAACACTTTCATTGGCTGCAGGCCGTGTGGCCTGTGAAACAGGGTTGCCAAACATTAGGTTGAATCGTGTAAACTTGCCATTTTATTTTTGTGAAGCTGAAGCATGAACCCAGAAGCTCATAGTTACAAAATGGCTGCCATAGCTTCACATTTCAGGTCTTTGTACCAATGGATTGCATGGCAAGGAAGGAAACACATGGAAAAGGGCCTTGTACCAGGGAAAAAGTTAATATTGAAAGGGTTTTGGCCCAGACAGGAGAGCCAGGAAAGCCTCAACTGGAAGCAGGAAGCTCCTATCTCCCCCTCCCCTAGGAATTTACCTGTGACGCCATCTTCCTGCCCCTGGAAATTTACATATGGCACCAAACCTAGGACCAATGGGCTACCTGTGCATCCCTAATGCCTACCTTAGGTACCACCCCAAACCGAAGCTATTTACAGGCCCCCACGCCACGTGTCCCGCCCGCCCGGAGAGATCGCCAGACGCCAGCAGTGGGGGGTGCTGGCCATCTCTCTTCGTGTTCTCAGAATAAAGGCCGCTTTTTGTTTTATACTTCTCATCTTTTGGAAATATTTTTCATCTTTTGGAAATAATCCCATCAAATATAATAAGAGTAACAAAAACAAACACCTACATGGGGTTTACTCAGTGTCAAGCTCTATTTAAATTCATTTTTGTTTTTGTTTTGAAACGGTCTCATTATGTAGTCCAGGCTGGCCTTGAACTCATTATGTGACCCAGGCTGGTCTTGAACTCATGTAGTCCTCCTGCCCAGCTTCCTGAGTGCTGAGGTTATTTAAATTCTTTGTATCAGTTAATTCATTTAAGAATCCCCTATTTGCATAGCCACTTTAAGTTATAAGAAAACAGGTGTTAAAAGAAGTGAAAGGGGGCTGGGGATTTAGCTTAGTTGCATAAGCGCCTGCCTTGCAAGCATGCAGTCGTGAGTTTAGTCCCCAGTACCAAAACAAAAACAAAGTGAAAGAAAATTGTGTCCTCGAAAAATAATGAACAGAGTGCTCTCCTCTCTTTCTCTCTCCTTCCCTCTCACTATTTTTGCCATGCTGCAGAGTGAGCCCAGGCCCTCGTGCATACTAGGCAACCACTGTGCTACTGTGTGACACATCCAGCTCCAGAGCTCAGAAGACCAGAGGCTGATGGAAATCCTGCCAGTAAAGACCAGGCTGGGAAATTCCTGTTGGAAAGAAGGACATCGTTGGCTGTTGGACTCCAGATGATGTGTTACAGTTTGACAGAAAGTTTGTTTGTATTTTGCTCATGTCCAGAGACTACCCGAGACCGTGATTAAGAGTGGTGGACTAACTGACCTGGCAGAAGAAACTTCCAGGCAATCTAATGTTGAGGTGGTAGTGTGGCTACTATTGAGGGCTTTAAGTCAGATTTTTGTTGAGAATAGAGAGCAAGGAAGCCAGAAGAATGATTTAAGATGTTTTGAGTTTGGCCAGGAAGGAAGCTCTAGTAAAATTGTGGACTGCAAAGACAGAACAGAGCAGATCTTGATTGCTGAAGGTGAGCAGGAAAATAGAAAAGGTAGCCTGAGGGCATCACAAGAAGCAGCAGGACTACACCTTGCAGCCTTGTAATTGCAAAGTGAAAGATGATGTTTTGAGAAAAGAGTCCCAGAGCACCATGTTCCAGAATGGTGGTGGCCTAAGGAAATTATTCCTTGGGATTTGGTTCTACAGCCAAGAGAGAAGGAAACCTGGCTACTGTGCCATCTGCTGGCAGACCTTGGCATTATTTATGTGGTGCTGGTTTCAGGTGCATACAGAATGCAAGAGCTGTGGCGTCAGGAAGACTTCCACCCAGATTTCAGAAGAAGGCCTGGGAGGTCAGACAGTGTGCCCTGAGAGGGCAGTGTGTGCATCTGTGAGTGTGAAGCTGAAGGTGCAGTGGAGATCCCCAGAGGCTGGGGAATCCAGGAGCATGGATCAGCCAAGGAAAGATGCAAAGAGGGAGTGAAGCCAGCCATAGAAAGAAACCATGAGAGCTACAACCACTAGAAGCCACAGGAGTGGAGCTGCCTGTGCCCTTTGGAGTTCACATCTTGCCACAGACTTCTGGGAATACTGGAAGTGGAAATGTGGGATATAATGTTTTCCCTGCTGAGTTTTTGACTTGCTTTGTTCCCATTCCTTGCCATCCCCCTGTTTGAACTTTTGAATGGCAATGTCAGTTTTGTGCCACTGAATGTTGGAAGAGTTTAACTTTCTTGCGGCTAACAATTTGCCTTAAATCTCAGAGGAGACTCTGGACTAGGACCTTTTAGCAGTGCTGAAACTGTTAGGACTTTGGTAACTCTTAGAGATGGCTAAATCCCTTTTGCATTAAGGAACGTGCATGAGTCCATAGAGGGCCAAGGCAGAATGTTATGGCTTGGTGTTTAGCTGTCTGCCCAAAGCCTCGTGCAGTCATAGGTGGGGCTTTTTTGGGAGTGGCTAGGTCCAGAGTGTGTGATGCTGGAACTGATTCACGGGATAATGCTAGGACTGAGGGCTCTAGGACTGAAGGTGTGAGTGTTACCCCCCTTAAGCCTGGGTAAGGTATAAGGGATAGAAAGAGCTGTGGTCATGCCTTGTGGTCCTGCTACCTTCTGCCCATAGAACTGGTATTTTTCTGCCATGCCACCCTGCCTTGGAGCCAGATGATTATAGAGTGAAACCTCTACAAACTGTGAGATAAATAAATTTGTGGGTGTTGGGTGTTTTGCCTTAGCAGTGAGAAAAGTAACTAAGACAATATGCATTTGCAGTACATAATGATGACATGCATTTATACACATAAATGTCATCGTGATGACATTTTAATTTTTTTCATTCCCATTGCTGCCATCCCTCCCTGCCTCCTCCAGTTTATTTATTTATTTAGTCTTTTTTGAGACAGTGTTTCATTATGCTACTCAGGCTGGGTTTGGACTCAGTTGCCCAGGCTGGTCTTGAACTCACAGCAATCCTTCTGCCTCATCCTCCCAAGTGCTGGAATTACAGGCATGTGTCACCACTTCCAGCTCCCTCCAACTCTTCATCCCCTTCCCATTTAATTTTTTGAGACAGGGTCTCATCTGGCCTTGAACTCTCAGTGATCTTCCTGCCTCAGCTTTCCAAGTGGTGGGACTACAGACACAGGCCACCACACCGGCCTCCTTTCCCATTTGAAAAAGCTCTATTTCCTCTTTTTTTTTTTTTTTTTTTTTTTTTTTTTTTGTACCAGGGATTGAACTCACGACCTTGCACTTGCCAGGCAGGCGCTTATGCCACTGAGCTAAATCCCCATCCCTCTATTTCCACATTTTCTGATTCTCTTTTTTTAAAGCCTTTTCCCATTTCTTCCATTTCCCCCCTCCATCTTTTATGTCCCTTCCACTTGAAAAAGACCTTTCTACTTCCTATTATCTATACTATATTTTGCTCTTTGTTTATATATAAGAGAAGCCATGTGATATTTAAACCAGTGTGTCCAATTTACTGAGCATTGTGGTCTCAGGGGCATCCACTTATCTACAAATACCTCAGGGCTTTTTTTCAAAAATAAGAGTAGGAAAGGCATCCTGGGGACTGGGGATCCACTGAGGCTTTTTGTCAGGGACAATGTGGCTTTTAGACACAATGTGGCTAAATCATGGGTCAAACTGCAGCCAACCTGTAGGATTATAAATATAGCTTCTTGGCTAATACCGACGCAGTAGGGCAGTGGGTCACCCAGCAAGGTTACATGGCTAGTCGTTTAACTCTGGGGTACCTGTGACTTCTAAACCAAAAGCATTTTGGGGAAAGGACGGCCTCACGTGTTCTGGTCACCCACCCTGCTGTCTGAAGGGCATCTGTACTTAGTGGACTGGGTGGTGCTAACTACTGTACACTCCTTAGGAAGAGTGCATGTCGGGCCACGTGCCTTTCCGGAGTCCTGGCCTTCTTCAGATACAACACCAGCCACAGTCGTGATGTGTTCACTTTTCACTCCCTTCCCTGACAGCCAGTCCCCCTCAGACTGTATATTAACATCTATCTGACCTAGCTCCCTATAGTCCCCCCCCCACTGAAGGCACACCCCTAACTGTAGTAAGGGGAGCAGCTTTGATACAGTTGCTTCGAGCTGAGAAGGGTCAGTGTAGGGTACACCACTGTCAGGGGGCTTCTCCTCAGAGATAGTTTAGTGGGTCTTGGAAAGAAGTTGTGCTAGAGTTTAGCAGTTATGACCTCCCTTTAGAAGGTCGATCTGGTTGTTGGTTCCATCTGCATGACCGCTTGGAGTCTGGCACCTCCAGTTCCGATAATCTTGGTGGAATCTCCAAAACGATGTAGGAGAAATAGAATTTCCAAGCTGCTACATGTCAGAGGTGCTGAGTCTGTGTCCTCTGAAATCAAAGGATGAATTCCAAAGGATAAAGGAGGTTAAGAGTAGGAACAGCTTATTGAGCACTGAGAATAGCTCCTGAGGGACAGGAGTGGTACCAAGTAGGTTGGCCAAATCTCTCAAGTTTATCCTCCTTTACGACAGAGTAGTACTCCATTGTGTATAAATACCACATCTTCTGTATCCATCCATCTGTTGATGGGCATATGGGCCATTCCAAGTTTTAGCTATTGTAAATTGTGTTTCTACAAACACAGGTATGAATGTATCCTTGTAATATGATGCCTCTAACTCTTTGGGGAAATTATCCAGAAGGGGAACAGCTGGATCAAACAGAATTTCTAGTTTTACTTTTTTGAGGAATCCCCACACTCATCACCATAGTTGTTTTACTGGTTTACATTCTCACCAACAATATAGAAGGGTTTCTTTTTCCTTACAGTCTTATCAGCATTTGTTATTTGATTTCTTGATAATAGCCATTCTTTCTGGAATAAGATGGACTCTCAGTGTTGTCTTAATTTGTGTTTTTTGTTTGTTTGTTTTGTTTTTGACAAGGGTCCCCCATATAGGTCAGGCTGGCCTTGAACTTGCAGTGATCTTCCTGCCTCAGCCATGTGAGTGAATTCAGGGGTGTTCTACCATAACTGGCCAATTTGCATTTCTTTAATAGCCAGCAATGTTGCACATTTCTTCTTGTATTTATTGGTCATCTGTATTGCTTCTTTTTTTTTTTTTTTTGTCTTTTTCCTTTTTATCGGTACCAGGGATCGAACTCATGACTGCCTGCTTGCAAGGCAGGCGCTTATGCCACTAAGCTAAATCCCCAGCCCCTGTATTGCTTCTTCTGAGAAATTTATGTTCATTTTACTTGCCCATTTTTTGATTGAGTCTTTCATTTTGAGAGTCTAACTTTTTTTCTCTCTGTCTTTTTGAGAGAAAAAAAGACGGCTGGATGTGAACTCAGCAAGTCTCTTGCTTCAGCCTCCCGAGTGCTGGGATTATAGGCATGTGCCACCACACCTAATTTGAGTTCTTTATATATCTAGATGTTAGTCCCCTGCCTAAGAATAGCTGGTAAGCTGTCTGTTCACTTTGTTGCTTGTTTTCTTTCTTGGGTTGAAGCTTTTTAATGTGATGTGAGCCCATTCGTTGACGCTCAGTATTATTTCTTGTGTCATTGAGTTCTATTTGGAAAGTTACTGTCTATGCCTATTTTATGCTCCAGCAGATTAAGTATTTTTGCTTTAATATTTAGATTTTAACCCATTTGATTCTGGTTTAATACATGGTGAGATATATGGATCTAGATGCAATTTTCTGCATGTGGATAGCCAATTTTCCCAGTGCCACTTCTTAAAGAGCGTATGTTTCCTGCAGTGTGTTTTTTTGCCTCTTTGTCAAAGATCAAATAATTGAATGTGCCTGTCTCCTTCTTCTAATTAGTGTGAGAGTGGGGCTGGGATGTAGGTCAATGGTAGAGCTCTTGTCCATCCCCAAATACCACCTAAAAAACAATTGAAGAAGATGTGAGGCTCTGAGTGTTGCAGAGCTGAGGCAAGTTAATGATGCTGGGTCTTATGAGCATAATAAGATGCTTGTTATTTTACTCCACTAAGTTTGGAGTGGTTTGTTATGATTTGGAAGCTGTATGGGAGAGCTGGAGCTATGGCTGCCATGTTGGGACCATGAAGTAGCCACAGCATGAAATCAGCCAAGCAAAAGGGAGAGGACTTGGTTTCCCAAGCACATTACTGAATGGATAAATTAACCAGTCCTAGACCTGCTTTGCCAGCTGATTTTTTCTTTCTTTTATTTTTTATTTTATTCTTAAAGCCATCTGATTTTTTCTTATTTGGAATCATAAGTTCATTTTTACTTTGACCATTTTCATTTTCTGATTACTTATTGTAGAATAAAGCATCCTGCGTAATATAGATCTCATCTGTCCTAGGTATACATGAAACAGAGAAGTATACAAGTCTAACAGAGAGGGAGAGACAGACACATATAAACATGTGCATACATGCACACTTGCATGAACATGGGTATAAGTATGCACAGTTATACATCTTTGGTTGGACTTGGGTTTGGGGAGACACTCAGCTAGATATTGGCTTAGTTTCTTAGCACTGTGGCAAAATACCTGAGAAAATCAACTTAAAAGAGGAAAGATTTATTTTGACTCATGGCTTCAGAGATTTCAGTCTGTGGTGTTTGGCCTGGGGCAGAGACAAATGTCGGGGTATCGAACAGGTAGGGATGCAGAACTGCTCACCCCACGGCAACCAGGAAGCAGAGAGAGAGACAGAAGGGGCCACAGACGAGGTAGAGCCCCTGAAAGGACACCCTGAGCCCCTCCCTTGAACTTGCCCCACCTCCTAAGTCCTTAGCACCTCTCAATAGCCCATCAGAGTATGGACCCTTCAGAGCCCTGTCAGAGCCCAATTGCCTCCCCAAGACCCCAGCTCTGAGCGCTGCTGCCTTGAGGACCAGCCCTCGGGGGACCACTCCAGATCATAGCAAGTGCACAGCCATGCATGCCAGGCAAACATGTGAATCCTGCCTGTGAACATGGACATCCACCCTCAGTCACCAACACACACCTACTGAAGGGTTCCTCAGTCACAGAAGGGTTCGATTCTGTTTGTTTTTTTTTTTTTTTATGCATTGTATACAAGTAAAAAAGTATATAAATAAATTCAGCTCTGTGTCAGGGTTGTAGGCCCATAAATAAGGAGGGAGAATAAATAACTTGAACTGGGGCAGTGTGTAAATAGGGCCTGGGGTCCCAGACCGCTGGGGTAGCCCACATTCTCAGGCACACGGGTCTGGCCTGGAGACATATCTCAGGTCCTGGCTGAGCAGGCGGAAGAGGTGGAACTAGGTGAGGAATATGGGGAGGAAGGCAAGTGACATGGGGCAGGTGATGGACACAAGAGGAAGGGTGTGGACAGAGAAGGTGCAGGTGAGGCAGAAAGACCAACACACAAGGGGGGAGACAGGTGAGGGTGACAGAAGTCTGGTGGGACATGCATGGCACGGAGCAGGCAAGAAGACAACAGGCTAGGGCACCAAGGGAAGACAGCTGATGCATGGTGAGGACAGGTGGCTATGGCTGGGAGCAGGTCCTGCAAAGAGGCCAGGAGCCGGGGATGCAGCTCAGGGGCTCAGCACCTGCCTGGCAAGTGCAAGGCCCCGAGTTCAATTCCTGGTATGGGGTGGGAGGTGAGCCAGAGAGAGCGAGGCCAAGGGACGGAAGTGAGAGGTGGGGAGGGGATGGGCAGGCAGAGGGGGACAGTGTGGAGCAGGACAGGGGCAGGTTGGGACAGACGGGCCATGGGGAGAGGGCAGAAGAGCAAGACGCAAGGTCCTGGGCAGTGTGGAAGTGAGAGGAGCTGGTGAGGAACACATGTCCTAAGTGGGGCGAGCAGGAGATGGGGAAGGGCCACCCGAGGGGGCACGCCGAGGGGGCACGGGACAGGGGCAAGGCTGGCTTCCAGTGTACCTGCAGCTGCCGCAGGTCCCAGGTCCTGGGCGAGAGGCTCAAGTGGCAGCTGAAGTCTTTCCGGAGGAGCTGCTTTTCCTAGACAGCAAGGGTGCACTTAGCTCATCCTAGGGGGTTATGGAATTGGGTTGCTCATAGCAGCAAGCAAGAAGGCTGCCGTGACAGGAGGGTTCAGGGTGACCCAGTAGTGGGGAGGATGGAGGTTAGTCGCAGTGGAAGGCTGGAGGCCCCTCCATGGCAGAAAGGGCAGAGATTAGCCCACAGCCAGCAGCTTGGCCCGGTGGGCTGGG